CCCTCCCTCCCTCCCTCCCTCCCTCCCTCCCTCCCTCCCTTCCTTCATTTTCTATTAGCAGGCAGGATTCTGTCTTCTTGGGTGCTCTTTAGCAGGGCAAAAACAACTCTGATTAGAAGCCCAGAGAGGCAAGGTTACACATATTTCATATTTTTGGCTTATTCTCCTAAATACAGAATTGTTGTTGTTTTCAGTCATATAGTTCTGTTCGTTTCTGAAAACCAAAGTCTAGTTCTTTTGCCCTTATTATTTTACATGGAAACTTGGGAATTTATGTGGCAAAAGGATTGAGAAACAGGGACAGTTGCAGTAGCCAAAATCTAGACCATAGGTGCTCAGCACAACATTTCATTTTGTCTGTCTTCACTGGCTGTTCACTTCCTGTCGCATCATTTTACCGGGCATCATTTTCCTTGCCTGTTTGTTGGTAAGTAATAAATAAATAAATGATATTCAAACGCCTCTGAAACCCTTGACTCTTAGAAACAGAATAAATGGAAGAAAGGTCTTTAATTAAAAAGGAAGCACCCATTATGGCCCTGTGTGCATTTATTCCTTCCTTTCCTTTCTTGTTTCCATCCCTTTTCTCCCTCCCCCCCCTCTTGAAGTACAGGGAGCAAAATGAATGCATGTCTGTCCTGATCGCTACAGATTATGTCTCTTTCTTTGCCGCAGGTGGGCTAAGAATAATTATTCCAGCCAAGGTGGAAAGCCCATTTGGGTCGATCCTCAGGACTCCAGAGTCCAGCATATCTGTATAGATGACAACATCCGACTGACCGATTATGACACCATTGTGCATCCTCAGGTATTGTTAGGGAGAAGCATTGCTTCAATTCTCTCCCCCTCCCCCTTTTTAAAAAAAATAGAAGATTCTTTTGTGGGTCATTCACAGCTCTTAATTATAATTATAATTGTGCAGTCCCCTTTTGTCAATCCTGGGGAAATAAGCTAGGCTTTCAGAGACAATACCCAGGAGGCTTTGTGCTCTAAGTGGGAGACCTGCTGTTGTGATTCCTCCACTTTTATTCTGGCCTTAAGCAGAAAAGCCCATTGCCTGGGCTATCTTTGGAGTACCTCTGCCTGGCTGGCAAGGATAACCTGCCCCAAAGGTGGTGGAGATTGGTAAGTGAGCCGCCTGTCATAACCGCAGGTGATTAGAGGAGAACGGTGGCTGGCGTGGAACAGAAGGTGCTTGGGGCCTGTTCTTGCGGCGTGCTCCTTCTGTCCTCTGTGTGAGTCATTCCCATTCTCCCTCCTCCCCGAGCCCCAGCAATCTGCTTTAGCAGCCCAAATCTCCTTTGCAGTCCTGAGTGCTTAAAGGGCAGCTTTCATGCCAGAGCCAGGAAGTCGGGAGAGACGAAGAGAAGAGAAAGGCCGCCGTCGTCGCAGCTCTTTCTGTTGCCCTAAAAGCTTTTGCTTAGGAAAGGAGGCAGCTGGGAGAGAGCGGGGGCTGCTGCCTGAATTAGGGGATGGAGGAAAAGCTATAGGCAGGCAAGGTTAATTGGTTCTTGTTGGATTCAAGCCACCGCATTGGTTCCTTGAGGCTTGGTGCCACGCACAGTATAAGGGAAAATTACCCAGTGGAGGCTGGGACTGTTTCATTTCCCAACAATGGACATTCAAGCTGATCGGTAAACACAGGTAGTCCCTGACTTAACAACAGTTCATTTAGTGGCCGTTTGAGGTTACAACGGCCCTGGAAAAAAGTGACTTATGACCATTTTTTCACAGCTATGACCTTGGCAGCATCCCCACGGTCATGTGATTACATCCGGATGCTTGACAACTAAGTTCCTATTTTATGACGCATGCAGTGTGTCCCGGGGTCTTTTGTGACTTTCTGACAAACCAAAGAGAGAACCAACCTCTAAAACTAAGGAGAGATTTCTTGACAGTGAGAACAATTAACTGCTCGTCTTCAGAAGTTGTGGGTACCTCATCGCTGGAGGCTTTTCAAAAGAGGCTGGATAGTCAACCTCTCTGGAATGGTCCCTAGCAGTGATGGCGAACCTTCTTGTTGCGACGTGCCGAAAGCATAACGCGTGCCGGCACGCACCATGCAATGCGCCCCGCGCATGCGTGTGCCATGCTCCGCCCCCTTACCCGCAGTACTCATGCACGCACCTGCCAACTGATTTTCGGCCTGTTTGAGGGTGTTTTCGCCCTCCTGGAGGATCGAGAAAAGCCTCTGCAGTCTCGAGAGGCCGAAAATGTGCCCATTTCGGCACTTCTGGTATTTCTGGAAGGCCCGTTTTTTTGGCCTCTGGAGGCTGCAGAGGCTTCCCTCTAGCCTCTGGGAGGCCTCAAATGGGCCAACAACCAGCTGGGAGGCGCGCACATATGCAGTGCAGGTATGTTTGGCTGGGGCTCGCGTGCCCACACAAATGGCTCTGAGTGCCACCTGTGGCACGCGTGGCGTAGGTTCGCCATCACGGGTATATAGGGTCTCCTGCTTGAGCAGGGGGTTGGACTAGAAGACCTCCAAGGTCCCTTCCAACTCTTTTATTGTGGGGTTTTTTTTTTTTCCTTCATCGAGCCAAGTCAATAAGGAGGAAGTCAGATTCACTTCGCAACCGTATTACAATTCGAAGGCTGCAGCGATTCATTTAACGAACGTGCCGAGAAAAGTCATCAAATGGGGCATCACTTGTTAAACAAATGTCTCACTTAGCCAGATCAATTCTGGTCGTCAGTTGTGGTCGTAAGTCGAGGATTACCTGTACTCAGGTCTTGGTGGAGGAGGCAGAGAGCCCTGCCTGGAGCATTTTATCCTGCCACAGCCTACAGAATGGCCTTTGAAGAAAGGGAGATGGAGAGAGAAGGGGATGTTATTCATTCCCCACCCCCCAGCCAGTCAATTTCAGGTCAGATTATATTTAGAAAGCAAGGGGGCCTAAGGGGACCCCCTGGGATTCCATGCCCTCCTTCTTCTTCCTGCTGATTCCAGGTCAGATCTTGTGGTTTCAGAGGCCAGGAAAATTTTGCTAGCTCTTTGCCAGCCTTGATTCCTTTGTAAAGACCTTTTCCTTTTAAGACCCAAGTTCAGCTCTTCCCCCTTAGTGGGTAGATCTGAGCATACTCCAGAGTGTTCTTCTCTAGCCTGTGAATGAGTTTCAAAGCTGGCTTTGAGAGTCTTCTGTGTGTAGGTTCAGGGCAGGGCGGTTTCTCTATGGTGATCCCTCCCTATAAGGCAATTGGAGGATCCATCTCTACCTGGAAGTGTACAGAGAGAAGAATATAGTTGTTTAAATATATCTATGAAGTCATGTACACATGGGGCAGGTGAGGACAGGACCAGGCCATAAGTTTTGGACCAGTTTTCCCTAAGTACCTCTTCTTCCACCTTTGCAATGGGATTTTCTAACTGGAGTAAATGATGGAGGTTATCTCAAGGTTTCCAAATCTTTTTTTTTTTTAAATTGATTTTCTATTAAATACATTTCTTAGCGCTTAATAAACATCGTGTTGTCTGGGCATTTACTTTGCTTAACAATACAAATTTACGTTCACCCCTTTTTTTCCCAACCATTGGTAAAATAAATGGCATGTTTGAGAATACTCGACATCTTCTGTCCGTTTAATTTTCAATGGCAATCTGTCCATTTCTACACCGTCTAGTGTCTTCCTTACCTCTTCAGTGGTGGAATTCCAAATTTCACACTGCTGGTTCTGCGTGCTTTGTGCGCGCACGTGCGCTTTGCAGCAGTCAGAGTTCGCTTCGCGTGCATGTGCAGCACTCAAAGATCGCTTTGCACGCGCACAGCAAAGATCATTTTCCATGCACGCACAGTACTCAAAGGTCACTTCCCGTGTGCGTGAAGCATTCAAAGATCACGTCCCCTGCGCACGCAGAACTCAAAGATCGCCCTTGCTGAGATGAGCTGTTTTTTTAGCTCAGCTGAAGCGCGGCAATCCACGCTCTGCCACGCAAATCAGCTGAGCTAAAAATCAATGGAATATAGCAGTGGCCCCCAACCTTTTTTGTGCCGCGGCCCGGTACTGGCATCACAAAATGATCCGCAGCCCGGTACTGGCATCAGCACGCAAGACAAGGCAAGGCGAGCCGAGCGACCGGCCAGCCAGCCATCCCCCACTTCTCCCCGCCACCTTCAACTCCTCCTTTGTACCTTTGTTGATGGGCTTCGCTTCGGGACGGCTTCGGGACGGTTGCTCGGCTCGCCTTGCCTTCGGTGCTGAAAGAATCCTCGCGCCTTAGTTTCGTTCAAAGCCCCCCCCTTCGATGAAACTAAGGCGCAAGGATTCCTTCAGGAACCAAACGCCGCTTTCCAACCAGAAAAGCTCACCCGGAAGCACTTTCTCGTCAAACAAGATGGCGGCACCCAGCAAACCGGCGGCCTGGTAGGAAATGTTCCACGGACCGGTACTGGTCCACGGCCCGGTGGTTGGGGACCCCTGGAATATAGGACAGGAAAGGGACAGGTGGGTGGGGCCAGTCAGAGGTGGTATTTGCCGGTTCTCTGAACTGGTCAAAATTTCCACTACTGGTCTGCCAGAACCGGTCCGAACCAGCTGAATATCACCTCTGTACCTCTTCATCTTGCGCTATATCTTCATTTTTCCAGTATTGTGTATTGGATGTGAGGGCGATCTGGCTGTGACATCTGTCACCCCATTGATCACCAGGGTCGATTCAGCTGATCTGGCTGACTGGGTGGGTGTCCCCTTTCTCCCTCACCGCCCCATGTGCGTCTCTCCCGAAGCTGCACACTCGGTGGAAGAGGATGACCATCCGAGACAGAAGGGGAGTATCTTCAGTCAAGGGTATACGATAGCTGCGCTCCCCTGCTAGAACCTCCAAACAAGCGTAAGGTTTCCAAATCTTCTGTGGCTTGGCATTGCAGTATCAGCCCTAGACAATCCCCCTCTAGAATTCATCTGGGCTCATCAAATGTCAACCATTTATGCTGTCTGCTAGAATCCTTCCCTTCCTAACATCACGCACACTGAAAGGAATGGTGTTTGGGAACCCTATTCCCTCATCAGTCCTTGCTGTTGAGAACAGTTAGATATTGATTTAGTTTAGTTTACTTTATTGTCATTGCACCTCGTACAATGAAATTAAATACCATCTTCAGTGTACATTATGACTATGAAAATAAACACAAACACACGTCCTTCACATTCTATACATTGAATTGAAAACCCCTGATATTGCATTAATATTGCGCTATGCAATAGAATTCAATAGAGTTTCTACCCTGGGATAGATCCATGCAAGTCCTCCTTTTTGCAACCCTTGGAGACTGTTGTCTCATTGAGAATTGGAGTATAATTGTTCATACTCCTTATATACATGAAAGAGTGACCCCCACCACAAAAACCAAACTGGAAAATGTTAGTCCTATCTTCTTCACGATGCCCCCACATTCCTCATCTCCCTTGGAGCATGATACACGTAATCTTCAACTTACAACTGTTCGTTTCATGACAGATCCAAGTTAACAGTGGCACCAAAAAGGGTGACTTACAGCTAGGCCTCACCCTTACAACTGTTGTAGTGTGGTCATGTAATCAAACACCAGGCACTTGGCAACTGGCATACATTTACAACGGTTCCTGTCATGGCCATTGGTGACTTTCCCAACCATCTTTTTTATCTTATTTATTTATTTATTTATTTGATTTGCCAATTATTTACAAGATAAAGTCAATGCGGGAAGCCTGATTTGCTTAACGACTGATGGAGTTCAATAGACAGTCATTTCCAGTGTGCAAAGATGTCTGACTGCCTGCGGGGCATTTATTATTTTTATACAGTTTTTACAAGCAGGAAAAGATAACATAGAAACAGCATTTGGATTGGGGAAGCCCCTCACCAATCCTTAAAAATATACAAGTAAGGAAGTGATGCTGTTAGCAGGTGAGATCATGTACCAGCTTATTTGAGTATTTGAGGCCCATGTAAGTATTAAGGCACAGAAGTGTGCTGCTTGCGCCCCTACAGGATCTACATCTCTACTATAAACGACTAGATGATTCACTTAACAATGGCAGTGATTTGCTTAACAACCAGGGGTAAAAAAAAAAGTCATCAAATTGGGTGCGACTTACTTAACAGCCACCTTAGTTATCCACAGAAATTGCGGTCCCAATTGTGGACGTTAAGTCGAGGACTACCTGTAATAAGAACAACCGTGACGTCGCCTGCTTCTATAGCTTGAGTGGTTAGTCACTGTGACTAGTGGCTGAAAAGGAGGTTGAGGGGTATAAGCCCTCTGAAAAGCAAATGCTCCAGTTTACTTAGGAGGATTTCAGCTGACAAGTTCTCTTCAGAGGAAGGCCTTCTAAGTGGGCTTAAGATTTAGTATCCCTTCTGAGAAATCAAACAGTATTGAAAAGGGGATGGTGGGTTTGCTTTTTTGTTTTATCTGCCTGGGCCCTCTGCTTTGGTGTGTTAAAAGAATTCCGACCTTCTTATCTTGGCCCAACAGGTATTCTTAGGGCAAGGAAGTGACTCTCCCCGGACAATTCCTACTTCGGAGCTCTATGACATCTGCCTAGTCCAAACAGACCTTCTGGAGGCCATTGCTGATGTGAACTATTTCTGCCACTGCATAAAACGCTGTGAAGAGAATTATGAGAGCTACTTGTCCAGAGTTGAGGCCTGCATCTAATGGGGCTGGCTGAGCGGTTGCCAAGGCCCTTTGCGGTACTGCAGGGAGAGCAAAGAACCCGTATTCCCCTCTTGGCTGCTGCTTGTCTACCTCCCAATGAAGTCAGTATTCTTCTTTTAATTTCCTGGCGAGGGCTCCAGGCCGGAAGCTCCTTGAAACGAGAGCTGGGCCTTCAAGCAAGGAAACATGCTGCCTGTTTTCTCTGTTTGTGTCTGAATCAGAGCATCTAAATAGAGGCAGCTGTGTTTTATTTATAATATTTATTCAGCACTTAGTGGGTAGGATTTTCTTGCCCTACGGATGAGTGAACTCCAAGAAGCAGGTAAACCAACTCACAAAATGCACCCAAAACTGTTCTATAACCCAGCCTTTCTCTGCAAATGTTAAAATCACCTCCAACGGGTTTTTCTGGTAGCTTGGCTATGATGACCACTGGCTCTGAAACATAATGCCTGTGCTAAGCAAGCTCTGAAGAAGACACATGCTTGATTACCTGTTCAAGAAGCCATCAATGGTTGCGGGTTTACTAGTTTTCTATCGCTTCACTTCTCTCTATGTCTCCGCTGGATTCCCAGTATTTGATCTGAGTTTTGCTCTCTGCCAGCAATGATCTGCACACTGAAAGAACCCGGCTCTTTAGAAAGAAATAGAGACTAATTTTACAGAGAAAGGAGATCCAGCCTTTCCTTGACAACCAACCCCTTCCTGCTCTCTAAGTTAAGAAAGCTTTTTTTAAAAAAATCACACACGCACATTTTTTCTTGATTCTTTTTGCCAATTCACTGTGTATGAGGTCTTTGAGAATATTTATAGCTTGGGGAAGAACGGTGAGGTTCTTGGTGTTCTCTGAGCTTGGTTCTTTTCTTGCAGACAACCAAATCACTACCAGATTAAGGCAACCTCATCAGTGCACCGATGGCGTTACCTAGTTTGGTAATGAAAGGTCTGCAAGAAAACAACCAAGCAAAGAGAACACCAAGAAACTCCGCAGTTCAACCCTGAGCTACAAATATTCTTTTCTATCAATTCACTGTGTTGTTTTGGGGAGAAGACAGTACTTTGCTCACAGTTTCCTCCTTCCCAAAGCAGGAGAGCAAGATTTGGTTTGTTGTTTTGAATTTGAGCCCAGAATTTTAGATATTGCTCAAGAGAATAGCTTTAACTCCCCAGCAGTGGGAATTAGGAGTCATTTGCTAGAACTCATTAAAAAAAAATCTGTTTCACGAGTCTGTTCTTGCCTTTTCCTGGGCTTTTAGGTAACATGTTGTTCTTGGAGAGACCTGGTCCAATATAGCAGAAAGTAGGATGACACTTTCAGAAAGGTTAAATAAACGTCAAGAAAGATAGTTTTAAGCACCAGCTGTTATTCATTTTAGCAAAATAGTTTCTTTGTGCCTCATAACTGTATATTTCTGAATACCAGATAGTGGAATATTGTACAGCATAAGAAGGTTTTGATTTCCTGTTCCAGTTGTGTATTTCTCAAAAACATTTGTTTAGCTATAGCTGGGTGCAGAATTAAAAGGATTCTCAGTTTGATATGTGAAGCTGAGGGGGATGTAAGATGCTTTCTGTTGCAGGTCTCCAGAGAGCTATTCAGTACATTTCTGTACACTTTTTTTTCTGTTCACATCTGGTCTGTGAAGAGCACAGGCAAGAAATTGAGAACAAGGCAAAGGCAGGTGACTTTTACATTTAGAGAACTTAACTACACGACAGTCTTCAGATATGCAAATGGAGAAACACTCAGGGTTTTGCTGCAGAGGCCTGGCTGCAAATTCCCTGCCCTTCCAGTTGGAAAATATAGCTTGAGTTCATTACTGGATGCCATAGCACATTTTCACATCATTGTTGTAACCATATCTGCCATGTCATTTGTAACCTGCTTCAGTGCCCATATGGTGAATCTCAGGTGTGCCAGGCTAGCTGGAAGTGCCAGCCTGTGACCAGGTCAACCAAATGTTGAAACTTAGGAGCATATATATAATATATAATACACACACACACACACACACACACACACACCTGGCTATATTTATAAAAATTGATCAGCCTGCTCTCAAAGAGTTACAGAATAAAGTAGAATTAGGCAGACATTCTTAACAGCTTCACCCAAACCTGCCTTTTGGGAGGCTGCAGTTTGCTTAGATTTATATAATCTTCTGAACCAGAAGGCCCCTTTGACCCAGACCTCAGGTGTGCTGGGGGACTGTAACCATCTGCCTTGTAATATTCTGAAAGAGACTGATCCATTTTGTGATGCTTAGTAACCGTTTGACTGGAGCATTTTATTTTTATTTCACTGTTTCTTCGCACTTGCTTGACAGTCGGCCTCAAGCACACCACATTTAGCATCTGTGTGGCGAGGGTGGATTGGTTGCGTTTTCATTCGTAGCTGATTTAGTACATATTTTGAAACGCCTAAGATCTCACCAAAATCAGAGCTCACTCAAGCCGGCTTAGGCATTGCAGGAGAAAAGCTACGTTGTTAGTCTTCGGTGGCATCTGATGAAGTGAGCCGGAGCTGCTGAAAACTTCAGTTTTTTTAAATAAAACCAGGTTGGTCAGAAAGGCTGCTTCCAATTCCTCAGGATTTCAAGAAAAGGGGGCGTGTAGCAAAAAGGCTCTCAGCTGGAAGTGGTTTAAAAGCATTCTACATGTTGTGGAGGCCTGAGGTAAGGCCTTTGCAAAACAGGATTCCACCCCCACACACACACTCTGGGGACCCTCCCCACAAGAAACCTTGAATGACTGTTCCCACCCCTTTTCTCCCATGCCCCCTCTTTGCTTCCTGAGAAGTGAATGGCAGCGGCTCTCCCCGAAGTCCCTCCTCTTCAATTACAGATTCAGTTGCCATCGAGACTGAAGGATATAGGCAACCGGCGCCTCCTATTTTGCACCTGCTATAGAAATCAGGCCTGCCCGGGCCTCCTTTTCCTCCTCCGGCTCTCAAGCTCCATAAGATTGCAAGCTTTGCAGCGCTGCTGTTATTCCTAAACTTCCAGTTCCCCCTCCCCCCAGGGCCCGATAGGAAGGTCAAAATTTAATGATGCTGACAGGTAATCAAGGAATAAGTCCCCGCTCCTGAGTCCCCGTGGTGGGATCCTCGAATTCAATCAATGTGAATTCTTTCACTGCCTCGAATCTTTCAGCCACTATTTTACGTTTGCGGAAGGTATAGTTAGAATTGGCTTCCCCACTCCATTTTCTCCTTTTAAAAGCTATTTTGATTTTAAACACTCCAGTTTTGAGGATAGAGCCTGAGTTGTCTGGGGGAAGTTGTGGAGCGAGGGAGAAGAAAGACAGTGGTGAGTTAATCTCTTTTCCAAAGTGGCAGGAAGATCTGCCTGCATTGTAAATTCCAAAAGTGGAGTCCAAAAGTGGTAATGCTGTTGAATATTTTAAAAAGCATTTATTCCAGATAAAGTCAGGCGTCCCGATTTTATTGGTACCGAAATGGGCTGCTGTATAACCTATTTTTTAATTACTTTTCAGGCACAAGCAATGCACATATTAAAAGGACTAGGGGATTATGATCGTGGTGGAAGGGATAAATTAAGGATTAAGTATAGAATGTTTTCAAGATTGCAATTGGAAGGTTTTTTTCCCTTCCAGAAACCTGCAGGGGACTGATTTTTTATTACATAGTATTTGAACAGGTACTTGAACTTTGCACACTGTCAGGGTAAACTATATCTTAGCTTTATTTGGACACTATTGAAAGAGCATTATTTGTGTTCACTGTTGGCGCTATGTTTGTAAACTCCCATTATGTTTCATGTTTCTGTTCAAAAATTAAACCAAGGAAAGAGCCTAGAAATAAAGTATTTTGCAGATGTGGGTGTTGTGGTTTTTGTGTGAGTGTATGTTCTCTTTTGTAGCCAAGCTTCAAATTTTCTTCACCTGATGCAGCTAATACACAATACTTCCTGTTCGGACATATGATGCTCAAAATGGCTTCATTAGCTCAAGTTAAGGTAGGGTGGTCAGCGATAGCTTTGAATTCATTGTGCATCTTCAAAATGATTTAGTTCCCGGGCTGTTACTCATCTCTGTCAACAAGTCAAATTGTGACAGATGGAGCCAGTCCACCGTTGGGGAGCTGAAAAGTTAAAAAGTAATGGGATTTTTAATATTTGATCATTTGTCTTCCTATGTGGAGATGATGGCTAGGCAGGATCAGGACAGACAGAAACATATGCTTCGTGACAGGTTGTCTCAACCAACTATACATGGCACATTGACATGTATAAAGAGGCAGAACGTTAGGAAGAATGGGAGTTTTTGTGATGTCATTGGGGAGGTCAGTGGGCTAAGCTGTCATCCTTAGCTATCCATCGGAATCGTCCCAAGATAGTTGGCTGGCTGAGAGGAAAGACAAGATGGACCCCTCCCCTATTCCAAATATAGAACCTGACTGAAGTGCTGGCTGATTTTTTGACAGCATGTCAAAATCCTCTACCCACTCTACTTCATGTGAGACTAGTCCTCAAGAAAAAGAATTAAAAGCTAAATAACAGGTCCACCGCTACCCTGCAGTTGCTGCTGAAGACCTTTGGCCACGTCTAAAATTATAACATTTAAAATAAAATGAGTTATAGATCCCTATAGTTCTGGCCATGCATTGATTGCACCAGGAGTGTTGCAAAAACTGCATCACCCAAATCACAACGATTGCACTAACGAGATACAGAAAATATGTTAAGTCTTCCAGTACTACAGTCTGGAAGATCTAAAATATTTTCAGGGCATTCAAAGGGTAAAATTTCTCAGGAACTTTGCTTAGGTTTGTTTTTGCAGCTTACTGATTGCCTACTTACTTCTCATTTTTTTTGCATTTTGTTTATTTTTTGCAATTTTAGTATAAAATACAATAACTTGGGGGGAAATGAGGGAGGGAGATAAACAGTAAAGCCTCAAAATTGAGCAAGATGCTGTAACTAAGAGGTTTGCAGCGTAAAAATCAGGTTAGAAGCATCTGGCAGAGTGAATGAATTACTCACAGCTGAATATTATGGCTGTAAAATTATATCCAGCATGATGAGCAAAAGACAAATGATTAACCCTCAACAATTCTGGAAGCAATCAAAATAAGCTGCTGTATATCAGAACCTGCCTCTTGCTTTCTGTAGAATGCAGATTCCTTCTGTGTGAATAAACACTTATACGGATATATGCACACACGCATACATGGATATGAATTTTAGACAGTGCACTAGATAGAGAAAAATCATTTGATGTGACATGTATAATTATTTACTGCTGTGCGCACTACATAATTCACATTTTGGGAATGTGAAATTAAATAGATATTATGATGATGAAGTTATCAATTCACTCATGTCCGACTCTTGGCAATTCCATAGGCCAGGCCTCTCCACGTCTTCCAATCCTGCACTACAGCTTTGAGTTTTTCTATGCTCTGGGTGGTGTGAGCTTTGATGGTGTCCAGCCATCGTGTTCTTTGATGGCCTGGTATCCTT